ATCATCCAAAAATCCAAGAAATGCTAGACTTCAAAGATTTATTTTTCATGATTTGATAAAAATAAGTTGGATAAAGATTAAAAAAAAATTATGGGTTTTGAGGATGGTTTTGATTTAATTTAGGAAATAATGTTTGAATAAACAATGAAAATATCACAAAGAGTGCTAGACTCCTATGATATATTTTTGTTCAAATAATTAAGAGCATAACGAAAAACGAACAATATTATCCAAGGCGTACGCCCCAATAATAATTATTCAAAAACTCAAGAGGTGCTAGACCTTAAGAGTTTAATTTTCGTGATGGATTAAGAGAAAGATTTGTGTGTTGAAAATAAATTATATTAGGATTAGAAAAAAAATTAAACTTATTTAAAAATATGAAGATTGTCTTGAGATGTCAAAAAAAATGGACTATTTAAATATTCGACTAAAAAAATTTTAATATTAAATATATTGAATTTAGAGAAAATACTTACTCATATTTTACAAATATTGTTTGAAAATAATCCATGATCTTGCTTAGAAAATATTTTGAAATGTCTTGAAAAAAAACTAATTCATTAAAATTTAAACAATGGTTTTACTTGATAATAATTATTGAGTTAAGAAAGAAATCAAATTGTAAACCAAAATAGGAGCTCCATGCATCTGTTTCATCTTTATTCCTACAAAGCTGATATCTTCTTACCGTATCCACCAACAGCAATCAAACCTGCATAACATGTACACTAAAATATTAACCAATCATTGAGACGCAAACGGAGGACTGCCTTGTCACCGTTAAGGCTCAAATCATCTCAGAACTGTCCATCCGTCGGAACTGCGGTGATTGTGGTCTGAAGTTGCTGTGTTGAGCTATGTCGTCATCGCTTAAACATAAACAATTCCAAATGTTCGAAACATTTAAGCACATCGTAGCATCAAATTATCATATCAGTGTGAAACAGCATAACATAATATGACACAGTTAAGTACACACTATGCAGTTATCAGCAACAATAATAATGAAAAGAGTCTACAAACTTTGGTTCCCCCTGAAATTACTACCAACAAAACAGATCTTCACCCTCTATGCAGCAGAGCTTCCGTCAAATACCGCAAATGCTACACATTGTTCTTCGCGTCGGCTCCAAGATTGGGGTGACCATCGGGTAAACTCGAGTTTGCTGATAGTCAAAACTGATGCGCTACGTTTCACACCGTAATGCTTCCTGCTGCATAGTTGTAGCCGGTACGTTGTGACTTCTTGGCCACACAGAAGAAAAAACTGAGCAGGTCCTCAAACGAAGCAAAACGCAAGTCCCTTTGATCCTCAATGTGCCGTGAAAAAAAACCACCTCGCTGCTGCATTTTTGTGTTAAAAACTGAAGACTTGATCTTTTCGCAGCTTGACCGAACTCGGCGATGTCGCAATTGCATGATGCCCAATGGTGTTTGAACCTGCAACCAAACAGAACACAACCAATAGAAAAACGATACCGAGATTATAGTTGAGCCTCTGTCATAACTCATCCTTCTCATATGGACCTGCATAACCTGTATCTAAAGCCAAAAAACCAACCAGATGCCTTTTACGAGCGTAAAAGCGGTTAGGAATAATGGTAAACAAGGTAACATGAGCTCCTAGTAGTCAAGATTCACAACGATCGGCAGAGAGAAAAAAACCTATTTATGGTGTATATTTAAGCTATAACAGATGGGATATGAAATGAAAACATGAGAAAGTGGCAAATATGATTTCAACAGTATGGATGCAAGTTCAATACCATCTTTAAAACAAGCATCCCAATGGGAAGCTCTTAACAATTTGAAACATAGGCCAACTTGAAGCACCATAAACCAAAAATGACAGACAATCAGTATCGCGGAACCGCGGCAATGTGAATCGCAATTTCAACAACTTTTAGAACATGAATACAACATATAACGTAATCGGCACCAATCTCCTAACGGTTAGGACAACAATTACTCTACATTTCTGCCAACAGTAACACATAGAAACAACATAACTCAATGAAAAATAATTATATTCCAGTTATTCTCAAAAGTAAAACATAGTAAAAAAATTCGAAATTGAGAACAATACCAAGCAAACCAACAGTATAATACAGAAAATCGATTTAACATTGCTCTTAACCCGACTGTACACCAACTATTGAACTAACCAAAAACAGAAAAAGAAACGAACATACGAAGCAGTATACAAAATAGAAAACAGAGTTGGATCCTGCTTACAAGGTATTGAAAACGAGCAAGCAGAAAAAAGAGATAACCAACTAACAAGCCGAAAATTGGTCGCCGCGCTCAGGTCTGGTACGTGCTGGCCGAGATATTGTCGAACGCCGCGTCCCGAACATTCACCTATAGTTGCTCGCGTACGACTCGAATGTTAGAGGCTCTCACGAATCTGAGCTGATGTTGTTGTCACAATGCGATCGTTGTTGCAGGAAGCATAGTCACGACTTTTGTTTGCAAAAACCGTGCGATAAACATTGCTGCTACAAACGCCATTGTTGCTACGGAATCGGTGTGTTGTCATTAACTATTTTCATGTTGGCTATTGAGAAAGACGGAAGATGGTGATGGAAATGGATTGCAAGGTGAAATGATTTTTGGGCGGTGGCTTGTTGGAAGGAAGGGATATGAATCTAGAGTTTCTGGGATGGATTTTGGGGAATTGGGCGGCGTCGAATTGCCTCAAGGGAGAGAGGTGAGGAACAACGAATTAGGGTTTGTTGAAGGGATTGGGGCGGCGCCGAATTGCCTCAAGGGAGAGAGGTGAGGAACAACGAATTAGGGTTTGTTGAAGGGATTGGGGCGGCCGTGAACAGTAAGTTAGGGTTCTTCATTCTGAAAATCCCTCTTCCTCTTATAGACAGTCCCTTTCTCCCTGGGCCTCCAATGGACAGGCCCGTTACTCCAAACCAATTCTGATTCTTTCAATTCCTTTTTTTTTCAATTTTCTTTTTTTCAATTTTTTCCAATTAGTTAATAAAAATACTAATAATATAATCTAATAATTACGATATCAATATTAACAACTACTTAATACTTAAATATTAACAATCAACAATTAAATAAACAATAAAAATATATATAAATAAACTAAAATCTATAAAAAACCAAAAAATAATTACTAAAATAAAAATATACTCTTAGTAGATTAAAAAAAAAGAAAAAGTTTACAAAAATAAAAAATTCACAAAAATGTTCTTAGGCCACGTGTCGCACTTTGACTGGTCAAAAGATAAATTGAAAAAATTCAACCCATTGCGAGTAGACACGTGTCTAGATGGCATGAAACGATGAATGCGAAAACTTACAAAAGGGTAGGACAAATTTAGGGTATGACACAAGGTCGTCAATTAACAGCTCTAAAAACCAAGTTCAGCTATCCTTGTTTTCACTCTTCACAACTGCATATGATATGGGAAGCATTTGGTCATTAGGATCCCTCCCTATGGCAGCCAGAATCTGCCATCCACACAACCCCTAGAGAAAGCAACCATCTAGACCTATTACATGTCTACACAACTTAAAGTTTTCCTTACACGCAATATAACATATGTAAAGCCTTCTAAAATATGGTCTTTGATCCTCAACACCTTGTATAGGATCAACATTGATCTTCATTGTTGAACCTTGATTGACTCTTAATAGTTCATGACAGTAGTCATAGACCCTTGTGTAATCTCCCAAAAAAGAACCATCAACATAATCTCTAGCTGCAAATCTTGCTCTTATAGCTATAGTTTTGTTGACCCCAACATTCCACTTTTTTTGTGCCTTCTCCTTGATATCCTTTATACTTAACCTTGGATTGTTTTTCAAGCTATTTTGAATTCTTTTACTCAACCACTTTGTACTCATTAGCTTCACATTATTCTCTCTACTACAACTGCATTTGTCAATTACTTTCCTGAGTTGCCAAGTGTCTTCATTTAACAAATTGCTACATAAGCCTCCCACTCACAACCAACTTTACATCTAACCCTTACCCTAACTCTGTCATTTTTTACAAACCTTAGGTTTCTACCATTTTGCACAGCATAAGATGTTATTGCTTCCCTAAAATCACCCATTGAACTAAAATACATTCCCACATCCCACTTATAATCTGACATGTCTTTTAGCTGTCTGAAAATTGGATGTCATCAATCCTTCGCGTCTGGAACAATCCTTGAATCGTCTTCAATGTTTCGTTGAGTTTACCCCTACCATCAATCCTCTTATCATCTGGGTAATGGAAAGTCAGTTCAAAGGGGATTAAGACATTTTATATTCACGTCAACAATATCAAGTCCACCTGGACAAACGTGACAATTGTTTTCAAACTTTGACTAACGGCAACAGACAGAAGGATAAATGTGACACCATTATAAAAATTAGAGGATCAATTTGCCTTTTTTTAAAGTAAAAGGATCAAACTGGACTCCAGACCAAAGTTAAGGGGAAAAAAATTTATTTTGCCTTTATTTATTTAGATTGAATGTAATAAATGATTTTGATTTATATGAAGAAATATAAGTTTTGTTGAATCGTAGAGATCGAGGAAAGTAAGAGTATAACATGATTGAAAAATAATATTTTATATGGACAATATAAATTAGTGTTTTATATGGAGAATTATACTTTTATTTTTCAAAAGCAAAAGAAATATAATGTGAGATAACGCAATCTCACATCTATTATGTGTAATTTTATACAATTATTAGGAATTAATCATCAGATTTATCATAACACAAGAACTCAACTGCATAAACCTTATCAATCACAACACGTATGGAATAAAAGATAGGAGAGAAATTAATTAAGATCTCAATCAATATGCTTGATTTAATTAAAGCACTAAGTTTCAACCAAGTTAATTATAGTTCTCCCAAAGATAGTAGAACAAACACTGACACAAGAAAAACATACTGAAATTAAACAAACGAAAACAAAAACAGATAATAACTATAGCTGAAACATCCTCATGCATGTTATGTTTTATAAGCTCAGAGTTGGCCGCAATCTGCGATAACCACCGGCTTCGAGGTCTTCCCGGAGCTAGACCCCACTTTCTCGATCTCCTTCACCACCTCCATTCCTTCAACCACCTGACCAAAAACCACATGTTTCCCATCAAGCCACTCCGTCTTCGAAGTACAGATAAAAAACTGAGATCCATTCGTCCCCGGACCTGCATTCGCCATCGAAAGAACTCCAGGACCAGTGTGCGTCTTGAGGAAATTCTCATCTGCGAACTTGGCTCCATAAATGGACTCTCCTCCTGTTCCGTTTCCAGCCGTGAAGTCACCACCCTGACACATGAAATTAGGGATCACACGGTGGAAGGAAGAGCCTTTGTAATGAAGAGGCTTCCCGCTAGTGCCGACTCCTTTCTCACCGGTGCAGAGTGCACGGAAGTTATCAGCGGTTAGAGGAGTAGTATCGGCGTAAAGCTCCATGACAATACGGCCGGCGGGTTGGCCGCCAACGGTCATGTCGAAGAAAACTTTAGGGTTGGTCATTTTTTTGGAGGGTGAGAACTGAAAGTTTCCTATCGGAGAAGAAGAAGAAGAAGGCAAATGTATTGGTGTGGTTACTAAGTCGGAGGAAGAGGTGTTATAAATAGATAGAGAAAATGGACACGTTGCGTATTGTGAATAGGTAAAGTAACTAAAGTTAAGTTGAGAATTTGACTACCATTATTAGTGGGTGGATCTCATTCCATTCCAAGCATATGCTACATCAATGGAATTTGATTTGGTGCATTCTCAAGCTATTTTGCATCTAAATGTGAGGTTATAAACTCTAGTTTGTTTTTAATTAGTTTTGTTATTACACTATTATTGTATAATTTTTAAGTGAGATTTTATTAATTTTAGTTTTAAAAAATAGTCAAATAATGAGGCTTTTTCCCATATGACAATTTTTTTTAAAAGAATATTTTTAGGGGTTGTTTTTCACCACCTCATTTGTGAAGAGTATTTTTTGAAAATCTAAAAATGTTTTTCTTAATTATAGAATAATTATGGAAGTATATCCTCTTCCATATTAAAATACTATTTCCTACTCTTAATGAGTGATTCGGTTGACTTTTTCACACAGCTTAAAAAAATAAATAAATAAATAAGAGAGAATGATATTTTTACTAAGGATAATGTTAACTTGTGCCCTTGGAACACATGTTAAAAAACCCACAAATAGAAAATATATATGAAAAAAAACAACAAAGTCATTAATTATAAGATTGTATTAAATTTATTACACAATTTCCAAGAATTATTTCATATATTTATTTATTAACTTGTGTCCCAAGGGCACAAGTTAGCATTACTCTTTTATTAAAATATTGTTATCGTGTATTGAGAATGATGAAAGTAATATTAATTAGAAGGTAAAATAGGAAAATATGCATTGGAAATTGAAATGGATAATATATTTTGGGACACTATTTTATTATAAATGGACCACTCGTTGTGGGACAGAGAGAGTGCGTTTTAACTGAGACACATCATACCTTTTCAAAAACTATTTCAAAAGTGTATTTTCAGACCTACCTGTAGAATGATTTTGTTTATTTCACAATTCAGTGGTTATTTTGGATTTGTCAAGCAGGATTTTGAAAAAACACACTACCTTGCATGTATTTCACAACTCAATCAATATTTTGGAAATGTATTTCAGGATTTGTCAAGCGAAAAATTTAGTAAAATACCATCTTGCATGTTTGCTTCACTCATGATCATACCACCGTTTCTTCTTCAAGACATACCAAAAGTTCCTTCCACGCTCAATCATATTTTCTACTTCAAAATAACGTTTCTTTATTTTTCAAATCAAAAGACAGAAAATAAGTTGAAATTTAAGATAATGTACATGTATCTCCACCAACTTTAGATCAGGACGGACTTGCTCTCGAGAAATGTGAATCGTGGGATAAAAGTATTCTACTTATTGAACATTATTTTCAAAAGAAACATGCAGAACAGAGAATATGTCTTCCACTGACTTCTCATACTCTTTGGACAACTCAAGGTTCTCATGACGGGTCTCTTGAAGACCATCCTTAACTCTTTTACAACCTTCTCGAGCATCATTCAAAAGATAGCTCTAAGTCCTTAACTCTTCTACGAGAAGATTTTAATCCCTTATTCAACTCTGTAATATCGACCTCAATTGTGGATAACTTCATTCAAATGGACAATAAAGCTTCATCTTTCTCCTTCTTCTCTTGCAAGAGATATTACACCATCTCAACCAATAAGTGAAGGCGTCTAAAATTTTGCAATTTGGTCCCTATCTGTCTTAGTAAGCCAGTCATCCTGATAAGTTCCTCCAAGCAGTGTTCTTATCAGATAGTAAGAATATTTACACGTTCCTAAAGTAACTATTTCATCTTCTGTAGACGATTGGGCAATAAGACATCTCCTATTCCAATAGAACCAAAGTCTAAGACACCCACTGTCAGACGAGTCTGGAACGCCAATTCAGTCAGCTCCTTTTGATTAACGACCTCATTCTTACTCAAAAAGTATGTATCGTCCTCCTCATAGATAAATGATCAAAATGCCCTAGTCGTTCATGGACCAATACGGGCAAGAAGTGAAGGAGGTAACACAATAACTTTTGATATTGTACAAACGCCAAGTCCATACCTTCATAAATCTTAATCAAACATTCGATGTCGAGCAGACGACCCTTCCTAAAAAGGCAAGTGAGTTACCCCGAAGACATGTATAGTAACAAGACTCCCACTAGCAACGAACGATGGCGAATGAAGAATATTTTCCACCACAACTCAATATGGGGAATCTCGAACATCCACTTGGGTTGTGACAAGTAGGGTAACCGCGGTCAGATTGAAGACAAACTCGGAAAGGTTTCCCAAAAGGTTTTCCAAATCCTCCAAACAAATTCCCCATAGGACATCAACGTCCCATCAAGACTCTTCTACTTCCCTCTACTAGAGGTAAGATTGAAGACAAACTCGATAAAACCCTCACTCTATGACGTAGGAACAAAAGTTTAGGGGGGAATTATTTTGGATCATCCGCAAGGCCCACACAGAAGGCTCAATGACAAGCACTGAAAGGGAAGTCACACCAAATAGGTGAACCCTCATCTCTTCTAACAGATACTCAATCACGCCCTCCATTGCATCTCTCATCGTTAATGTCTGATCGGACTATTATCCTCAAAAGATGCAGAATCACACATGGGTGGTGTTAATCGTACATACTATATAAACACCATATGACACCATTTAAGATATTCAATTCATTGTCGTATCATACTACTTCTCACTTTGGGCGTTGGAATATTAACTTTGCATGATAGCCTTCTCACTGCCATATTGAAACTTGTTCCACTGTACCAAGACATTATTTCACCACTTCTTTACAAATTTCACATTCACAATGGAATATAAATTATCAAAGCAACTCATCTTGCACATTCATTTTCCTTCGTGTTTTGCTTGAACCAAAACTCACTGATACTAATTGTCAAATAATTGATGATGATACAAACACAAGTTAGATAAGAAGGATCTCAACATAAGGTTTTAAGTATCTCTATGACGGTTATTTACTACAATAACTACTAATTACGGTCATAACACAAATTAAAATTTATTTTTAATAGTTTAATGGTCATTTTTATAGTAGAGTTTGTTAGTGCTAATGAAATTTGGTTGGAGAAGGAAAGAGAGCAAATAGAGAGAGAATGAAGTTGTTATTGAAAAACTATTATTGTTATGTATTATGAATTATATTATGTACATGTATATATACAAGTAGCTAACTTCTAACCCAATTAACTAACTTGGATTTGGGCTTGGACTTGCATTATATCACAACATACCCCTTTATAATCCAAGTCGTTAAACACAAACTAATCATAATTGATATGAACTTTTTCTAATTTATTCTCAAATTCAGGAATATGTCGATCTTCAACCCTTTGGTGAAAATGTAGGCCAAGTATGCTTCAATCTAGCAAAGTCTCACTTAAAGTTCACCTTGATTTACCTTTTCCCTTAGGAAATGAAATCTCGCATCAATGTGTTTACACCTTCCGTGTAAAATTGGATTCTTTGCAAGGTTAATGGTTGATTTGTTATCGATCTACAACACCAGAGGTTTCTTTACTTTGACCTTCATCTCTTCCAGTACAGATCTGATCCAAGTTGCTTGACAAGCAACATAGGGTCCTGTTATATACTCATCCTCATACAATGATAATTTCACCAAAGGTTGCTTTCTCGAGCACCATGAGATTAGGGAACAAAATACTTGAAAGAAATAACGGTAGCACCCAAAAATTTGCCCTTCGTTTTAACCTTTACTGGCTTTTGTTTCTCTGAATTTTTGCATTTCTGCATATCATAGCATTGGTTCTTAAGGCATGAGATCAAGGTGTTTCTGTGGCTTAGGGTTCCCTTTTATTGCAAGAGTTTAAACAGCGAGTATCAGAGGCTCTGACATTTATTTTTCCCATCGATCGAGCGATCGATTTTATTTCAGCAGGTTAATTTTCAGCTTAGGAGATGATGTACAAGCTATCTCAGGTGTTCTCACAGTTATGATATTCAAGAGAAAATTTCATAGGCTTAACGGAGCTCAGAACTGGTCGCCACAGGCAGTTGTACAGGATTCCCTCCACATGGCGCCAAAAATGGGCATTTTTGAACAGGGTAACCGGTTACTTGATATAGAGTAACCGGTTACTTCAAGCGCATTTTGCCAAGAAATTTGAATTTTCAGTATGTGCAATTACCAATAATTCTCAACCATTAATTTCACTTGATCATATTTGGAAAGATCTAGAATTGTTTCAATTTTCACCATTTCCCTCCAAATTTCAAACACTCCATTCCTAATTTCACTCCTAATTTCCATTCCAAATGCTAATCCTCATTCCAAACCACATTTTGATTCCAAACCTAGGGCTTATTTAAGTGAATTTTCTTCAAACGTTCATTGACAATAACCCTTCATTTTCATATTTCAATCTCACTCATGAGAATTTGCTCTCAATTTTCTCTCCACTTTTTCACTCCCAAAACCTCCATTAAAGCTCTTTCACTTGAGTTCTTTGATTCTTCATTGGAATCATCTAATTCTAGAGTTAAACCTCCATCATTCATCTCAATTATCTTCATTTCACCATTCAATTTTCGTTTGGTTTTGGATCTGAATTTGGAAGTTAGATTGGAAGTGCTTTTTGTGGATTATTTTGCTTGATCTTGCTTATTCTTCATTTCTACCATAAGGAAGCTCCTGGATCTTGAAGAATCTCTGGGTTTCTTGCTTGGATCTAATAATTTGAAGTGAATCAACACTCACCAAATAAAATCTCAGCTTTGAAGGTTGATGAATTCTAGATCTAATCCAATTTTGAGCTTGTTTGAATAATCACAATGTAGATCCATGGCTTTTATTGATTTTTGATCCATCTTGATGATTTGGATCTTGGTGATTGGTGATCTCAGTGTTTGATTATGTTTACATGATGTTTGATCACT